CAAATACATACATACATCTCAAGAAGCAACTTTGTTTTAAATGAATTTAAATAAATATAAACGCTTCACAGGTACTAGTTTTTTAAAGTAAATACGCAGTATACTAGATTTCAAAAAATCTTTAAATTTTTTTTTTTAATTGCTTAGATGGGTGGACTAGCTCACATCCCACCTGGTGTTAAGTAGTTACTGGAGCCCATAGACATCTACAACGTAAATGCGCCACCCACCTCGAGATATAAGTTTTAAGGTCTCAGTATAGTTACAACGGCTACCCCACCCTTAGAACCGAAACGCATTACTGATTCACGGCGGAAATAGGCGGAAAATTATCACACCCTTAATTGGTTATTCATTGTGATATTACTGAAAGTCGGTTCCCGACAAGCGCACTTCGGAGATAAAGCAATTGGCAACTCTATGGCATATTTATTATAGCTATTTAACTGGCTAAAAGACAGCGAGAGAGGGAGAACAAGTTTGCGAGCTGGTAAAAACTGGACCGCTTCGAAAGGCGGGAATTTATCGAAGCCGACGACGACTCATCGCGGTATTTCATCCGGAATCTCCAATTAAAAGTTTTATCTAGACCCCTAACCTGATTCGTGGAAATCTAATACGATTTTCTAATACGAATTTATTTTTTTTTATTTTTTTATTGCTTAGATGAGTGGACGAGCTCACAGCCCACCTGATCTTAAATGGTTACTGGAGCCCATAGACATCTACAACGTAAATGCGCCACCATCTCGAGATATAAGTTCTAAGGTCGCAAGTATAGTTACAACGGCTGCCCTACCCTTCAAACCGAAACGCATTACTGCTTCACGGCAGAAATAGGCGGGGTGGTGGTACCTACCCGTGCGGACTCACAAGAGGTCCTACCACCAGTAAATAATACGAAATCTGTTACGTCAAAATAGTTTCTGTAATACCATGGAAGTGAATATGTTAATGTCTTTTTTGAAGCCTCTCTTACGAAGGATGCTGCCTTTTGTTTAAGAGATTTATAAAAAAGCGTACCTAGCCGTCACAGTGCTAATTATTTCAAAACATTGAGACTAGAGTTTTACGTGCATCGATATTTATTTAGACAATTCATTTCTTAACTAAATGAAGCTTAAACTAAATCGATATGTTCAGTAGAAGACATAGTCAAATCTAGATGCAGAAAAGGTAGAATTTAAGGAGTGAATTCTTGAATTTTGGTTAAAAAACTTTCGGTAATAAATGAAAAAATTTAATATAACCTTCGGAAGTTCATTAACAACTTTGTTTGTCGACTTGCTAATTATATTGTTATGAACTTGCCTTGTCTCGTATAAGTTCATACCGGCCTTATGTGAACGACTTAACGGTTCCCTCTTAACATTCTCGAAGGGCTATTATAAATATGGCGATCATAAAAACCGAGTGAATAACTTCACACAGATGGTATTTTATTAATTTATCATTTAATTAACGTTTTCATATGTAAGTATTTGATAATTCACGATAGCTGCTTTGAAAATGTTCAATGTTATATGCATGATAGGACTGTTACTGGATTGTAAGAAGCATATTTTGACATTATAGAGAACATATTATAACGTAGGTACGACTGGTTGAACGGAATATTTATATCTAATCAGATACTTTCTACTGGTGGTAGGACCTCTTGTGAGTCCACGCGGGTGGGTACCACCACCCTGCCTATTTCTGCCGTGAAGCAGTAATGCGTTTCGGTTTGAAGGGTGGGGCAGCCGTTGTAACTATACTTGAGACCTTAGAACTTGTATCTCAAGGTGGGTGGCGCATTTACGTTGTAAATGACTATGGGCTCTAGTAACCACTTTATATCAGGTGGGCTGTGAGCTCGTCAATCCATCTAAGCAATAAATAAAAAGTGATTTTTGGCAGAAATAGAGATGATGATAGTATTAACCAGTGCAGGTTCGCATCACGCTTTAAGTTTTTGGGGCTGTCTATAGAATTGTCCGACACTCCGACCATTGCGATATTTTATGTTAGAAAGTTTTACTACTATATAGCACTTAGAATCATATGGAGGGGTGAAAAACTATTTGGTTTAAGCGACGTTTCGCTAAATATGCGACATTTATCGTCGTAATTAAAGGTGCGTCTTATTTGGTATTAGCATCAAAAGTTCGATGCTCTTAATCGAACTTCAATTAAGTTTATTCCATTGAAATAGCTGAAGGAGTTTTTTGTTAACAATTTTTTTCTAAATTTTAAATATTAAATGGCTCCTGTAAAGTTGCAAAAATGTCGCTTAAACCAAAAAGCCTTTCACCCCTTCGATATAGAGAATTACAGTCCAAAGTCTGTCCCTTGTCTTCTTACAAATATTCCTTAAACATGTATAATGTTTTCACCTAAATGTGCACGAGCTGAAATAAATTGTTAATGACATTACGTATATTTAAATTATCTACAAGATTACTTTAGATATTAAATCGAATCAAATTATTAAAAACTAGCGGCCTGCTCCGGCTCCGCTCGGGACTTTAACAAAAATTTCAACGATATCTGACGTTGTTTTATTTTTTTAAATAAAATAACACTTATTGCTGCATAACTATAATAGTTAGACATATGCTGCCGCGACAATTTTGGAAACAATAATATGTTCTACAAAGTCGTAGTACATTATTTTATTCTATCATCAATAGTTTTCGCAACGCACTCGATGTAAAGTATATTTTAGGTATTTTTTTTACAGCTTAGGTTACATTATTGGAGTTTTAGTAAGGATCCCTAATTTTTTTCAAAAAAGATTATAGCCTATTTCACTCAGGAATAGTGTAGCTTCCAAACAGTGAAAGAATTTTTCAAATCGGTTCAGTAGTTTCGGAGCCTATTCAATACAATACAAACAAACAAACAAATATCTCTTTATAAATATTATTATTAATAATATTATAAGTGAGTCGACTATTATCAAAGCCGGCAATCTGACTTTTGGACAATGATTGGTAAATCAGAAAAACGAATTATTGACTTTGTATTCCATTGGCAGTCACAAAACTCTTCGGAACGACATCTTAGATAAATAACAGGTTAACTATTAACCTTTATTTAATGCAGGTTTTGAACCGTATTCTTTGAAGGAGACGATTATATTCAAATCAATCTGTATTGACATATCAATAAATTTTTTTTGTCCAAATGCACAGATTGCCACCTATATTGCAATCTATACTTGAGTCGTCTATTATCAAAATAATAGACGACTCAAGTATAGATTAAATTAAAATATTGTATCGTATCTAATCAATAAACTCAAACTCTTTTAAGAACAAAATCGATAAAAATCGTCGCTGCTTTGGTATACAATTTAATTGATATTCGTGACGATCTGACGAATCGAAGTAGGCTCGATTTGTCGTCTCGGATGACATGCCTGTGAGTGCGCACCGTCATCGGCGGTGTCAGGCCGTTTCGCCAGCTCCGAAATGCTAAAAATGGCATAAATAATTTATACGTCGCTCGGGCGGACTCCGTTTTTGTCTCGGCCGACCTGTCCACCGATGCATTTATAATATAAGGGTGCTTTTTGCATCGTCGCTCGTCGCTTCTGGAATGCAACCGCTAAAATTGATCATGTCTGAAACGTGAGCTGCAGCTGTAATGGCTCGATCAGCGAGCGGTCCGTTTAACTATCGCGGTTTGCGTCTAAATTATCTACGTTTTGTTTTGTAATAGCCTACTGTTTGCTTAGTGCGAGTTTTTTAACGTTCTCGATAGCGTAAAAGTTAACTCAATTTTGTATGGAGTTGGAATGTTTACTTACGTTTGCCGCTAGGGGCGCTGTTCCAACTGCATACACAAATTTGACTTTTACGCTATCGAGAACGTTTAAAAACTCGCACTTTTTTCCCTACCTAAGTTGATGGTCTTGAGAGACCATTTCAGCGTAACCGGGCGAGTAGGTGAGCTCACGGAACTCAAACCTGACGTTGTTGCTAACACGACCCTAGCAAGAGCCGTGCTTCGCAGAATCTACCACCGGATCGGTACCACAGACACAGCCCACTGAGTTTCTAGCCGGAGAAGATACGGCTAGAAACTCAGTGGGCTGTGTCTGTGGGTTAATTTACTCGCTGAGCCCTTCGTCACAAGCGACGGGTTCCACGAGCACGATGACCGGTGCTTGAGGTACCTAAAAGCACCGTTAGTGGATCGGGAGGATCCGAAATAACATGTTTTGGGCGACGTCGAATGTTTACCATTCGGTCAGCAGGATCGGGAATGAAATTCGCACTAAGCACACTGAATGGGTCTGTAACGCGTTTAAAACGTGCACCGTGCGTCAGTAATGCTCGATTCCCATATTCGGATCACAGTTTTAAATTGCTACACGATGATTACTTGAGTATTATTTTGAGTCGCTCGTCTGGAACTAATTAAGTTAAAAAAAAGAGATAATAAGTCGTGTCCTCATGGTATATGAATATTTATGCGATGTAAACATAGATTTTATGGTGTTTTTTTTTTTAAATATACATAATTTGTTTTTAGTTTTTTTCGAACGATTATAATTTTACACGTATAAAAGAAATTTAATTTTGATACCCTGTCATTGAAAGCAAAATTACACGCGTCGTACACAAAAATGTTCACTGTTTTTATTAAAAATACTAGCGGCCCGCCCTCGCTTCGCTTCGGAAACTGTAATTTATTATTGATTTCTCCACTATTTAATGGATGTTATTAATCCATGTTACATATAAACCTTCCTCTTCAATCATTCTATCTATTAAAAAAATCGCTTCAAAATCCGTTGCGTAGTTTTAAAGATTTAAGCATACATAGGGACAGATATAGGGACAGAGAAAGCGACTTTGTTTTATACTATGTAGTGAAGACGTAAAAATTCGAGCGAAATTCTATTAAATCGGTTTTTTTTCTCGCGAACAAGAAACAGAACAAAATGTTGTTTATAGCCACAGTGTAAATAGTGTATATTTTATAAAAAAAGATTTCTTTTTTCTTCGCAGCAAACAAGCCGTTTTCGATGGCAAGAGGGCAATACGAGGCGGTATACCATTCGTTTTTCGTAAGTACCAAATTTATATACATACAAGTATTCTGATATGCTAATATACAAATTAAAAAAATTATAGTTTCAAAAACTAACAAAATACGCTTTTATAGAAAATCCAACAAAAAAATAGAAAATAAATTTTAATAAATATCAAATTAAAAATAGTGTAAGAAAAATGATTTTATTGTAAAAAAAAACGTGGAGTGCATGGTATCAGTAGTTATAAATATTTTATGAACAGATATGAGTAGAAGGGTTATTTTGATAATATTCTGAAAAGCACCTTACGCTTTTTTACAATAAAATCATTTTGTCTTACACATACATACATACGTCTGAAGCTAATAAAAGCGTATTAAAAAAAAAGGTGCGATATGTGCAGTTTTTATATCTTTTAATATTTTTATTGCATTTTGAGACGAGTTAACACTACACCTGGTGTTTACCGGTTAATAACTCACTGAGTTTTCACCGTATCTTCTCGGTGAGTCGCGATTCCGTCCGGTGGTAGATTCAGAAAAGCACCGTTCTTGCTACCACATATTATGTCAGCAAGTTCGCTCAGGCTGAGCCCTGTGATCTAGAGCACCAGTAAAGTTGAGTCAGAATGGTCCCTCGAGGCTGATGGCAGATAAGTAAACAAAAACCGGTTATTAGATCTCACGGTTCCACCACCTTTAAATTTGTAGTTTTATGTGGAAATTCCACTTGAATAAGAATGATGACTATTATGTACCTTAAATTGCTTCGTGGCAAGACTTAAGGGTTTTTCTAGGTCTAGTAAGAGATCATTTAGAGATCTCCTGTCTCCGCTTGCGCATACTTCGTTTCCAGAGAAGAGCGTTTTCTCTCGCGCCCTACCGCTTGCTCCTACAAGGCAGTACAAGGCTAGAGAATATTAACACATATAATTTACTCACATCATCCCTATTGCTTGAAGACAATAAAATTGATAAAGCCACCGAGAAGCATCTATCTGTGTTATCCGCAGATAAATTATTTGATAGAACTGACATAAACCATTAACTCTATAGTGTAAGGTTTTTGCGGTCTGGTAGCAGTTAACCGAGTGGATCGCCGGTTCGCCTCCTGATGTAGGTCAATTAAAACAATAGTAATAATATTTTTTACAAGTCATTAATTAATCAAAAAGTAATACAATTTTGTGGCTTTTCACACTAGATAAACTTGTTCTGTGGGGGTCGATACAATAAATTAACCTCTATGACGATAAATATGTAACCCGTTAATACGTATATATAATAAACTTATGTTTTACTGGTGGAGCGATGACTTAGGAAGTTTGGATGGTAAGTGATGAATGAAGAGAACCAAAGATCGGTTTCAGTGGTGTAAATTGGGACAGGCCTATGTCCAGTAGTGGACCACTGTTGGATGATGATGATCGCGGCATATTTTGACCGATTACATACTAACGTCCTGTCTATATCCGCCGCGAAGAAACCATTTCGATTTTAAGGCAGCTGTTACGCAATACAATTGAGACTTCGACCTCATGTGTGAAGGCGTGTTACGTCATTTACTTCATGACGTCTGAGTTCGTCTTAAGTATTTTGTGTAATAAAAAATCTCATTAAAAGTCAGTCAACTTTGAAGTCCTCGTGGCCTAAAGGATAAGACGTCCGGTGCATTCGTGTCTATCGATGCACTGATTTTCGAATCCCGCAGGCGGGTACCAATTTTTCTAATGAAATACGTACTTAACAAATGTTCACGATTGACTTCCACGGTGAAGGAATAACATCGTGTAATAAAAATCAAACCCGCAAAATTATAATTTGCGTAATTACTGGTGGTAGGACCTCTTGTGAGTCCGGACAGGTAGGTACCACCGCCTTGCCTATTTCTGCCGTGAAGCAGTAATGCGTTTCGGTTTGAAGGGTGGGGCAGCCGTTGTAACTATACTGACACCTTAGAACTTATATCTCTAGGTGGGTGGCGCATTTACGCTGTAGATGTCTATGGGCTTCAGTAACCACTTAACATCAGGTGGGTTGTGAGCTCGTCCACCCATCTAAGCAATAGTCATAATTATATAATGATTGCAGCTCAATTCGGGCAATGGGCCTTCGGACCTCAGCACGGCTTCGCGCGGGTGGCCCGCTGGCACGTCGAGAAGATGCCCGAGCGACTGCCCAGCGGCGACGTGGAAGCTGTCTTCAGCCTTATGGACGATGAGTTCACCAGGTCGATGTGGCACTTTCAGTGAGTCGATTACGTCTTCAATACGTATTAATTATAGCGGTGCTGATCAACGATTTAGCGTGGAATTTTTTGATAATTTTTGATAGGTAAATAATAAAATTCAATATCAACTGATGTGTAGCGGGTAGCAGTAATTTACTGGTGGTAGGACCTCTTGTGTGTCCGCACGGATAGGTACCACCACCATGCCTATTTCTGCCGTAAAGCAGTAATTCGGTTTGAAGGGTGGGGTAGCCGTTTTAACTGTATTGAGACCTTAGAACTTATATCTCAAGGTGGGTGGCGTATTTACGTTGTAGATGCCTATGGGCTCCAGTAACCAATTAACAACTCGGTGGGCTGTTAGCACGTCCACTAGGCAAGGTGGTGGTACCTACCCGTGCGGACTCCCAAGAGGTCATACCACCTATCTCGTGCAGCCACATAGCGCTCAGGTTGGCAGCTAAAGGGTCCCCATCGGACAGGTTTCGGCTGACGTACCGGCTGATCTTGCGTGAGAAGGAGCTCCACTTCAACATCGGCGTGTACAACCCGAGCAAGGAGTTGACGTTCAGTTGTCAGTTGCTGCTCCACACTTACTTCAAGGTGCCCGATGTACGCCGCTGCCAGATCACCGGCATGCACGGCTGCATGTTCATTGACAAGGTCAGTGTATGAGGGTTTTATAGTTTTTTTAAAGCCACCCATGACGGAACGCTATGGATGAAAGTCATATGTGGTCGTGATCCTTAGTAGTGAGGGAACGATGAAGAAGAAGAATGTGGTTTTATTAAATAATTAAAATTTGATTTAAATTTCTTAAAAGAGATTTATGATAGACTTTGACAATAGACCCTTAATAATGTTCAAACTTATAATTTAAATTAATTATATTCGTATTTACTACTAGTCTTCTTTTTCGCCATATTATTATCTCACTAGGTGGGGTCGGCACAGCTAATTTTTCTTTTCCATTCTGTTATATCAGGCGTCATCTCAACACTCACTCCTGTCTCTATCTCATATCGTCATTCACACACTCCATCCATGTCTTCTTCGGTCGACCTCTTCCCCCTCTACTACTCATCATTAGTACTCGTCATTATGTCATCCGACAGTATCAAGATTGTAATTTGATGTATCGTATCGTATCGTATTGTTCGTAGACGCGGGAAGGTGCCGTGTACCAGGAGACCCGCGAGGTGGTCACGGTCGGCGAGTGGACGGACCGCATCTACCAGAACACGATGCAGGAGCACATCATAACGAACGTTGTCAGCGGGCGGAAGATGCGGATACAGAAGTACAACTTCCCCGATACAGGTAACAGCTGTGACGTCAAACCTGTTTATCACACGAATGTCTGCCCGAAGTAGGAATCGAACTCGTGACCCAGCTCTTAGAAGCGTTAATAATTACACCAACGAATCAGGCAGGCTGTAAAAACATAATAGACATCTCAATCGTCACGACTAGAATGCCGTCCCACTGCGACACATGAGATTGAAGTCCAATTTGTATCCGCTCACGCGATTCACAATATTAGAACACGCTATAGCTGCGTAGAAAAAATATTGTTACGCGATGGGGTTCGGGATAAATAAAATTGTACCGAAGTACAAATTAAAACTGTGTTTATCACTTAGAAATTTTCTTTAAAATTTTCAATTCGCTTCAAGTGATCCGTTTGCTGTTTCGCTTCGAGTAGTTCCGATTACTGACTGACTGCGTGCCATCCCTGCATCGCTTTTATAGTCGATACCACATCCCTAGAATTATGGAGAACGTTCCTCACAAGTCGAGTGTTTTTGATGTGTGTTTCCGCTATTTGACAATAGATGTCGTTGTACTTGTCCATTTTACTAGTGCCTCCGATATTCGTTCGGCTATTCGGCGATAGATGGCGTTACTATTACAGGCGTAACATTATTCAAGTTGGTCGCATCTTCCCTGGCGTGCTTCGAACTCAACAAATATCTTTGTATATCTGATGGTATGGCAGTAGGGGATAAATACTTTGAAATTTTTTTTATTGCCCTTGTAGGCAGACGAGCATACGGCCCACCTGATGGTGAGTGGTTACCGTTGCCCATGAACTTCAGCAATGCCAGGGACAGAGCCAAGCCGCTGCCTACCGAAAACCTATGTTATGTATTTTTTATATATTTAACCTATGTTAAAGTGATCTGGAACCCGTGGTCGGAGTACGCGAAGGAGATCCCGGACTTCGGTGACGACGAGTTCCCCAACATGGTGTGCGTGGAGGCCGGGCGGGTGGCCGCGCCCATCGTGTTGCTCCCCGGCACCGCGTTCGAAGCCAGCCAGATCCTCCAGGTACTTCACTCTACTGGAACCTTCGATCAACACCGAAACAAATCCGGAAACAGCTCGCTCAGCCGGAGTCCTCAGTCCTCGCCGAACCCGTCGCTTGCGATAAAAGGCTCGGCGAGTAAATTAACCCATAGACACAGCCCACTGAGTTTTTTGCCGGATCTTCTCAGTGGATCGCGATTCCGATCCAGTAATAGATTCAGCGAAGCACTGCCCTTACTAGGGCCAGTTTTAGCAACACTCCGGTTTGAGCCCCGTAAGCTCACCTACACGTCAAGGAGAAGCTGAAATAGCCTCTCAAGGCTATCAGCATAGATAAGGGAAAAAAGGTCACGAGCGAATTTGTGATTAACTTGTTAAGATCTGTATATAATCTGTATTTTTATCACAATTTCAAACCTTTGCTGTCCTCAAATACTTTTTTGTTCCGACTTCAATATACATGTTTTGTGCCCTTATTTCATAGGTAATGTAGACGGATGGCGCCGGAGTTCACATGTAGCCGTCCACACGAGCGAAGTCAATTCACGAGGAACGTACGTAACAATGAGACAATATAGTATAATATGTATGGATGAGGCGGGGCGCTGCGGTCGCCAGCTCGGCTATACTGGTTTATAACAATTATAATCTAAGGTTAAGTTTTATTCGATTTTTGCTAGAGAGATAGAAAGGATTTAAAAAAAAAGCCTGTAAAAGTTGTATGGGAAACACTAAAAAAAAATTACATCATACATTTTGGCGCAGCACGTAATGTAATACGAATAAAACGCAACCGTCACGCGGGTTCGATGACCTCGAAGCATAGAGCGTTCGTCGGCTGGTTTTTAAATTAATTAATGTTTTATGTCAAGGAAGTCCATTATTTTTCGTCTTCGGAAAATAGCTACTACCGTTTCTAAAATACTTCTACTGTACAATCTCTAAAATTCAATTTTTTTCTTCGGTTTCATTTCATGCGGCGTCTTTAAAAATTTTGTAAAACTATTAAATTGCAAACAAAATCGAGTTACTTGTATCAAATAGGTAACTTGAATACGCTATATATTTTTTAAATTTAAAACGTTATAAAAGTTAATAAATGAATTTCGAAATCTGTTGTACGTTAAGTTAATGTTAAGTTTAAATTTTCTTTGTGTTTAAATTGTGCGCGTTAGACCGAGTTCACACGGTATTGTCCTGCACGTTTGTTTGCAGTATACGTCTTAACGAATGAATAGTGGCACATACATTGTACATAGAACCATGCACATGTTGTTTGTACTGCAAAAAATCGTACACCGCTTATGCGTTTAAACGAATACTCAACGGACTTGTCAAGAAAATCGAATGAACTTTAACGTTGGAGTGACGAATAGTATAGCTCTATCTCTTTCACACGTTCGTTTTTACACGAATGAAAATCTACCGTATGAACACCCGAGTGATTGTACGTTAAAATAACGAATACAAAAAAAACGTGCAGGACAATGCCGTGTGAACACAGCCTTAGGTTTCCAAACGTAGAACTTTGTACTGCAGGCCCTTACAGATGGCGCGCCGGTTTACTGGCCCACAAAATTTCAGTTTGACGAATGAATTTTATAAGAGCATTCGTTGCTGTGTTACTTGGTGGTTCCTAAGATTAGCATGACTCGTAGAGGCCTACAAATTTTATCATATTAAAATACAGTTTACGCCTGTCCGGGTAGGTGCAACCATCTCGACTATTCCTAAAGCCGCTTTCAGACTACGCTATAATATAATAGCATATAGCTCATAGCACAACAATATCGCAGACCATACATTATTATGGACATGTTCACACTGTATCACTGTACTATATTATTATATTATTGGCTAAGTACAGGCTGCTATACTATATGGCACTAGTATAGCGTAGTCTGAAAGCAGCTTAAAGCGAATCTGTCATACGTTCTGATTTGAAGGGACCGTTTTTATGCAATACATTACATGATTTCCATAGGCTGCAATAACTGTTTAATACCAGTGGGTTTAGTGCGAGTTTTTTAAGGTTCTCGATAGCGTAAAAGTTAGCTCATATTTGTATGGAATGGGATCGTTTGCGTACGTTTGCCGCTAGGGGCGCTGTTCCAACTGCATACAAAATTAGGTTAACTTTTACGCTATCGAGAACGTTAAGAAACTCGCACCAAGCACACAGATGGGTCGTGAGTTGACTCACCAAGCTATATAGCATTGGCAGCTACGGTATTTTCGTTTCTATATCATTCCGAATGCTTGATGTACCAATTGATTTAGTACGTAGATTCTCTTACTGAATATTGTTCATGTTATACTTATGGTTTTTAAAGTTCAGTAGGGCAGGCCCGCGTTACTGTAATGTAATAATACAATTAATTCATCAAATACTAAACTTCTAATTTGATTGTGGGACATAACAGAAAAAAAACATTCCTTTTTGTAAATTTAATTAATTACAGATTTACTTATTTAGTTGGATATATTTTAAGTACTACAGAGCTTCCTATGCGTTTTCATTTTGCTTTTTATTTTAAACTATTATTAAAAAAATTGGGAAATTTGTTGGCAACATCTATTTCGGTAATTTCCAAAACAAAAACGTAGACAACTAAATAATACATGTCGGCTGTGTGGTGTATTCGGAAATTTATTAGAAATTTTTGCAGGTAGTTTAAAATAAAAAAGCATAATGAGCGAGAGATTTTGTAAATCTCACTTGCCTTTTACCCTTAGGGTTCCTCTTGTTTCAATCTTGTTCTCGTTATAATATTGTTCTATTGTGTTTACGTGTCTAAGTTATATGAATTTCTAATACAAAAGACGGNATACATGTCGGCTGTGTGGTGTATTCGGAAATTTATTAGAAATTTTTGCAGGTAGTTTAAAATAAAAAAGCATAATGAGCGAGAGATTTTGTAAATCTCACTTGCCTTTTACCCTTAGGGTTCCTCTTGTTTCAATCTTGTTCTCGTTATAATATTGTTCTATTGTGTTTACGTGTCTAAGTTATATGAATTTCTAATACAAAAGACGGTGCTTCGCTGTATGAATAATTTTTGAAATCTGAAATTCATCATGTATTTCTTTGAAGTTGGACATTTGAATAACTGGGTCAATGTCGACATCAAGCGTCATTTCTTCAAATTTCGCCTTATTCTTCTTAATCCTGTTGAGCGAAGCTTTTGAAATACATCAATAAAGTTCAGAACACGATCAGTTTTGGAGACAATTTATTAGATGTGTTAAGAGTTAACTTCATTGTTAGGATTTTTTAATAGTAATAAAATTAATTAGATTAAAATTTTAAATTTGCATAATTTTAATCTGCCCCAATATAATTTTGAAATTTATATGTATTGTAAGCGTAAAAAATGTTCGGTTGTGTCTCCATTAAAAATGTCCATTAAATGATAGTTATATCTGAAAATAACTGAATTAAGCACTGATTTATCCTCCATAAATAATCCAGCCATTTTTACTAATCCTATTTTCTCGATAGTTGTCATAAAAGCCTCTTGATTTTTCTTTTCAAATTGTAAATTCTGTTAACGGATCCTTTAAAAATGTGTTATTTTATATACAAAAAAATGTACAGTGTACATACATAAGAAGTACAAATCTGTATTAAATTGTGATTTTTAAATACATTTTTTTTTTCTCTTCATATTTGAGACATTTTTGGAGGCTTTTGAAGTATACGACGACTAATATAAGAATTAAGTACTTAGATAATACGAGTTCCTTGGTTTTTTTTTTTCGAACGATCGAAGAGTATACCTTTTCACACAAATATTATTATTAGTATGTTAATTAAAAATGGTTGTATGCGACATAATGAACTTAAGGTTTTTTACTTCCAAATATTTTATATCTGTTTTGGATATTATTATAATATTAAGTAGTTTCTGATGTCTTGTTTATTTTTATCCTACGGTTATCATATTTATGTCGCATTTTTAAGCTCTCATTTAATCGGTAAGTTTTAAGTAATTCCATTTGAATAAGTCAATTAAGACTATAATGTCCATTGTTTTAATGTAGTAATACTAGTAATAATTTTAGATCTGTGACATTGTTACAACGAAGTGTACTTTTGTAGGTGCAATAAAGTAAACTAAACATTTATTTATTTATTTTATTAACAGAACTACCCTCTATACTGTATAATTAGACCGACGCCTCTTTGTTGCTGTTAGGTAGATCCCAAGCTCCTACTTCGGTCAATAAATCCTTTTTCGTTACAAAATAGTCTTTGTACCACATGATGTGTTCTTTTTTTTCCTGGGCGGTGTAAAATGGATTCTTTGAGAGCCCGACGCAGACGAGCTCCATGAAGTGGCGTATCGGTCCTTTCTTCGGGCACCAGTCTTCTAGATGTGTGTCCAAAAATATGTGCTCGGAGAAATGTATCTTTTGTTCCTCTTCCAGTCCTAGAATAACGAAAACGACCAATTTGAACTTAGTAAAGCGTCTGTGGGTACAGGTAAGTCGGCCAGTGTCCACTACACTACACATAGAGTGATGCTACTGTGCTGGTTCCCATTTTTTCCAGATAAAAATATAATATAAACAAAAAAGAAAATCGAACCTACGGATCTTTTACATTACACTGGCAAAGACGAAACAGTGAAGTGTTTTTTTTTTGCTTAGATGGGTGGACGAGCTCACAGCCCACCTGGTGTTAAGTGGTTACTGGAGTCCTTAGACGTTTACAACGTAAATGCGCCACCCACCTTGAGATATAAGTTCTAAGGTCTCAAGTATAGTTACAATGGCTGCCCCTACCCTTCAAACCGAAACGTATTACTGCTTCACGGCAGAAATAGGCAGGGCGATGGTACCTACCCGTGCGGACTCACAAGAGGTCGTACCACCAATGTTTATTTTCTCAACTGTTTATGAGACTTGTTTTGTTTAGTATCTATTAACTTACTGCTTACGTGTTGCTAGTAACCAGGGATAATGCTAGCTTTAATTGACGTGATCTATTAACGACCTTTAGCCGAGCTATCAGACTTTTTATTTTTTAAATATCCTAAATAAATTACATTGTTTTAGTGATAGATTTGACTGGGAACGCTAGTCTGTATTTACGTTATTATTAGAGCACTCTGTGCAGCTTGCTTATATAGATATATTTCTGACGCAGCGAAATCATGAGTTCTAGTTTGAAGAGTGTGGTTGTATTTGCGGCGGGGTTATAAGGTGAGTGCCGGCTTTCACATTTCGAGGTCAATGGGCTCTGGTAACCAAAATACCAGTTGATCTGTGAGCTCATCTGCACAACACTAGTTATAAAAAACCTTAATATATTTTGTAAAGAGACTAAAAGGTCTTAAAGCTTAGCAGGGGGGTGTAAGATCGGAGCCATCTTATCCATATAGGATTCATACTAGTTTCTTGTTACTGAGATTTCTTTCTCATCTCACAATGTTGAGTGCTGTAGCATTATTTATTACAATTCACGTACCTTGCTCGTTGTCAATGGGGAATTTCCAAACTTTACCCTGATTGGTCCACAGGATCATTTTCTGGAAATAATTGGCCGGGGGCTGTGCCGTTGCTAAACTTAGCTCTCGTTTTTTTAGGTTCTCCCAAACATCCAGTTTTGTTCCATAGTTTGGTTCTGTTGTCTTGAATATACCAAGTGGCTCACCCCCAAATATATCAATTTCTGTGATTTGTGGAGTACCACTGAAAGTTAGAAAGAAGATTATTAAAATTTTAAAATATCATTCTACTGCACTAAATAAACTGCTTAAAAAGTTGTGGTATTCCCTATAGCATTCTGTAAGGGTATTCTTAGACTAATATATTTTTTAGCCGAGATAAATATCTTTATTGAAATATCAGAGGTCTTAATATGCACCTAAACTTGCAGTGGTGCTAACAACCAAATCTACATGTGATTAACACAAAGACACAAACACCTCAAACACTAAGACATGCTCATGCTCATGAGTTAACCACTCATTACACACACCTTGAAACACCTAGGCAAACATCATATATTATTAGTTGCCTTAAATCAATTACATATTTCAGTTTCAAGGACAGAATAGCTATAATTCCAATGTACTTAATGCCTCCAGTTTGTCACATTGTGGGCAGTGGCATCTACATTATGATATCTATCTCTAACTCTTTCTCTCGTCTTTTAGCACACAGATGTCCACTGTTGGACATAGACCTTCCCAAAGTGTCATAAAAACCTGTATTTATGGTCTCTACTAATCATTTAACGCCAAGAAATATGAACTCATATGCCCATGTTTGCGAATGACCATGAAGTTGTTACCAGACTCAAATATATGTGATAAATGGGTGATGGAAATACATTGGGAGTATATTAAACAGATAAATAATTATAAAATATTACCTTCTGTTACTGTCTCTTCCTTGCCTTGTCCTGTCATTGGGAACATATGCTGATTTCCGTTGTGAATATCTAGTAGGAGAAGCTTCAGTTGTCTTTGCTTTGCTTACAAGTCTTTTCACTTGCTGCTCTCTAGTATCTGGTTTTTTTTGGACTTCATCAGGTTCTATTGTTCTGTCTACCTTCATCCCAACTAAAAGGTCACTGGAAATGTTCCATTGGTAGTAGATGAAAAACTTGAAAGACTAAATAAAAGCATTTCATTGAGAACACTGGTCTTATAAAAGTATTACTTTTGATTTTAATTTTATGCTTAATGAAAGATGAATATTTACTTAACTATTGTCTGTAAATGTGAACTGTGTCCCATTAATTGATTGAAAGTTATACTAGACTACAATTTAAACATAAACTTATAGACTTTTTTTAAAAATATTCTCAATACCGATTTGAGGATGCAAATACAATTCAAAAATAAAATAATACTAGTGTAATGTTGTGGTTTTTTTTATTAGTGTACTCCACAGACACAACCCACTGAATTTCTTAGCAGATCTTCTCTGTGGGTCACAATACTCATCGAGGGGTAGATTCAGCAAAGAACTGTTCTTGTTAGGGTGGATGTTACAAAGCCTCTCAGGCTGAGTTTCATAAGCCCACCAGTACACTTGGTGAGGAATAGCCCCTCTTGGCCATTGCCAGTAGATAAGAAAAAAGTAAAAACTAATAAACCTGTGTTCAGAATTACTCCTACTCTCTTGTATGATATGAGTTTTTTATATGTTAGCATCAACTTGTACATTTTTTTGGTGATGGTAAATGGTAAAATGCAAAGAAAGAGGTTATAATTTGATTTAATGTTTACCTGAGAGTGGTAGAAGTTTGATTGATTTTCCCAAGTACACGAGATAGAAGTTCTGCTTCTGTTTGTTTGACATCACCCCCGATAGCTTGAGCAACATCACTAGCAGCTTTTGTGATGCTCTCCTCTGAAATTTATTTGGGATATAAACTAACTTTTTTACAACTGAAATTGAGTGTCATAATAAATCATATTTTACAGTCTGAATCGATTGTGACCCACTACAAGACTATCGACAAAAAGTGATAGGTGTATTAATGGCATTAAGCTCAAGGTTGCAGGGCATTGAGTATTTATTAATATTATCGAAATATCGATTATGTATGGGGTATGTTATATAGCCGATCCATTATGATTTAATGTTTCAAAGACACATCATTAAACAAATTATTTTATTCTAACCTATTTTTTCAGTCTTCACTTCTATTTCGTCCGCTTGTTTACTTCGCCTAGTATCTGGAGATGTTGCGAATTTTTCTCTGTACTCAGCTTCACTTATTTTTGGAGGTGCCATCATGCTTTTCAACAGTTCTTGAATCTTTTCAGTAGCCGGATCATTTTTTACGGTTTTCTTCTTGGCATCTTGAATTACTTGAGGCTTCCCATCATTATCCTTGGATTTGTCTGACAAACACCGTGCGATTACCCTTAAATCTTTTCTGAACTTGAGTCTGGAATTGATAGTTACTTTTGAATAAAATTTGGTACAAAGACAATGTTTACTTACATTAACCATATATTTAAATATATTTACAAACAAACCTTGTTAACATAGTAACTGACTATTCGAAATATTAGGCAATTTTACTTTTCTTTTTTAGGTTAAATTTCTGTGGTTTTGTTATTACAAATTTATTGACAGCTGACTGACAGTGCGGTTTTTTTTAAGGGATTTTATGACCTGGTCACTAAGACTTTTAAGTCATGTCTTATTTTATAAATATTCTTATTTTTATGAAAAATTATAATATGGAGTGAAATGAAATGAAGATGATTAATTTGAGACGTTAATCAACTGAGATGAAATTAAATGAAATGAGATGATATGGGATGAAATATAATCTTAGTAAAATGGTGGTCATTTACTGAGATTTTTTCAGTGGAATTTTTGGAGGTTTCCGAGAAGTTACCTCCAGCGGTTTTTTTTTAATTTTCCCACATTTGTACACTTTCACAGATATTAAACAGATAATAAACCACCGTTATTACACATTTAAACCTGAAGAAATACTAAATAGACAAAATAAAACAAATCACACAACTGCACTCCTCGCGTTCCCGCCAAAAAGTGCATGACTGACAGTGTGGTTTTTTTTTCAATATTGCAAAGGTAAAAAAAACCTGCTATAAAACCTAATTTTTTATGTTGTAAGAAACCCAATTAGTCTAATGAACTAATGACAGTTTCATATTGATTGGAATGCAACGAAATTGATTAATCCCAACTTGATTATTGCATAAAATTGAAATAAATGAAAGGAGATGAGGCGAAATGTAAAAATATTTCAATGAAATAATGGGAATCTACTAAGATTTCTACATGGACTTTTTGGATGGAGTCGAGATACCACACTCCACGATTTTGTTTTCTCTCCACACTTTCACAAATTCTAAGCCACCATCATTATACCTTTAAATTTGACGAATCTCGAAACTAACAACGAAAATTCCCGCAAATAAATCATACTTTACCATACCTATATTAATATGTCGTATGTAGTCCAAGCCGAGAGTTTTTTCCCCTATCTATTCGCTGGTAGCCTAAAAGGCTATTCCAGCTCGGAAGGGTAGGTGAGCTCACGGGCTCAACCTCAGAGAATTTGCTAGCACTAGCCCTAGCAACATCAGTGCTTCGCAGAATCTACTACCGAATCGCAATCGCGACCCACTGAGAAGGTCCGGCGAGAAATTTAGTGGGCTGTATGAGTTAGTTCGTTCGTCGAACTCTTCGTTGTGGGGACGGTGCTTGAGGCACCTAAAAGCACCGAGAGTGAATCCGGGGGATCCGACATGGCATGTTTCAAAAGTATACAATTCACTAATCATAATTCCCCAAATTTACCTTTAAAACTTGGCAAGTTTCAGTCAAATTTAGGATTTTTCGTTTCCGATCTTGTTTCAATTAAAGCCAACCACCAAATAGTACAAATAGATGTCGTGCAAATAATACAATTGACGCAATAGATGGCTCGCGAATCGTTTCAACAAAGGTATTGGACATAGTTAATACACTTAATAGGTATTGGATATTTGGCGATGATGACAGCAAAGCATGGCAGTATTTAAATCATAATAAAACAAACGTTTACATTGCGTATATACGCAAGGCACTTTATTTGTGGACGGGTACTACTACAAAAAATACAAAACATAGACAAACATACATAAAGTTTCAATTTAATAATTACACAATAATAATCAATGAAATTTAACTCAGAATTATAACTAAAGACATCACATTTGCGACTTAATTCTACAATTGAACAAGATATAATAATAAAATGAATCATTCGTCAAAAAAACGTTTACATAATCAGGCGATAATACACTGCAGCACCATTTCACAGGATTCTACCTTACATAGCACAAAATATGGCTTTACTAAGAACAAAGTATCAAGTTTAATTTAACAGTTTTCCCTATTTTCCAGTAGTTTAGCTGAACTTTAATCAAAATCATTAAAAGTTGGAAATATACTTCTTTTTTTTTGGATAGATGCTTGTGGCCTAGATACAATAAGTTAATGAGTGCAAGTGCACTCATTGGATTCGCTCGATAACAAGAAACTGTTAATTACTATTTGAAGTTTGACTAAATAAGTATTAAAAACAAACATTTATTTTAAATGTTTCCAAAATATTCATAAATGAATCGTTTGAAGATTCTTAACTTATTATATCAACTAGAGCTAAAATAAGCTTATTACCAATTTTATTCTTATCTTAATATAAGTACTAGCTAGTACAAGTTACGTTAACACTAAACATACCATAACCGGTCAAATGACCCAATTTTAACTTTTGCATTGAAAATGCACATATCATCTTATTGCTTTTGCACATTTGACTTCATCACTTTTTCTTACCAATTAATCTACAGTTATTATACTTTTTTTTTGGTGTTTTGTTTTGTTTATTTAGAGTAATACTTGCCGTATACCGTTACCTATCTATTCGTTATGGTAGAAATAGGTACCAGTAAGTATTGGTATGATTAGTGTTAATGGTTACGCTTAAATTAATTAAGACTTTTTTGTTTTCGAGAACAGAGGAGCATACGGCCTGCATATATGGAGTTACCAGCGTCACTCATGGACATTGGCAATGTCAAGGGCACATCTAAGCCGCAACGCACTGTTGGGGAGGATCCGTTTAGATCCTCGTTAGAAGGACATGTCATAACACTCAGCCAACACTCTGGAGGAGAGTTCATGCTAGAGCAATATGGTACGTATCAATGATATCTGGAAGGGCACTTTGGATGAAACAGTGGTTTCAAATGCTGCTCTGATCGCGAATGTTAACACTGAATATCACTCGAAAAATAAACCTCAAAACCCCAACAGTTTCATCACCATTGCATTTCAGGTTTGCATCACCATTGAAGACAGGCTATTCTTCGCAGTGAACGCGCTCATCTTTCTTGAATGAGTACTTATACATTTTATAATATTGCAAAAAATGTATTGAGACTTAAGAATTGAGCTAAAATATTTATGTTGACATGAACACAAGTGTACAATACACATAATTATCAATTGTATTATTAACAAAGTTACAATTAAAATTACAATGTCGTTTGAGCAAAACAGAAAGATTTGTTTTTTTTTGTTTTTCGAGTCTAGCATATTATCTCTAGTCTGATTTCTTATTAGGATAAGTTGCACATGTCAATGTGGCAATGGAAATACTTCACGAAACCACCATATAATATTTTTTTTTTTTCAGGAAAAATGAAAATTCAGATTGCCCTCGACTCGTATGGGAGAATATTGTAACTTATTTTGTTAATTACACTAATAGTAATGAAAAGTCGTCTGTGACCACAAAAACTGTAAAGTATTCCAAAAGTCGTAAATAATATTACAAAGTCGGACATTATAACCACGAAATTAAATCATAAAAATAGTTTTTAATTATGACTACGACTCGCGTACCGAAGAGAATACTATAATTCCACTAATATTGAAATAATAATAACCGAATTTTTGCATTAAAGTTTTTGGGATACGGTTACGTTATTTCTTTGAGTTACATTTTATAATAATGTCATATTATTTTTGTACCTAAATTAGTTGTTGTTATGAATAATTTTACTGTCTTCACTATTTCGAAGGATTAATCGTTTCTCGGGTAAACGAATAGAAGGTTAACAATAAACATTGCATGAAAGACAATTTAGAAAACGTCTATTACATATAGATATATCGAAACGCTTTCATCCCTGTAAAGTACTTGAGTTAAATGTTTCAATCGGTGTCGTTTTTTGATTTAAATTCTCAATATCGTTACGAAAAAGCAAATCACTAATTTTTTATCCAACAATTCGGAAAAACGCAAACCTTTTTTTTTCTTCTTCCTATCTAATCGTTGGTAGCCTAAGGGCCTATTCCAACCTCACGCGGACCGATAGGTGAGTTAGCTGACTCTACCTGAGAGGTTTGCTAACACTAACCCTAGCAAGTCCATTGCTGAATCTACCACCGGATCGGAATCGCGACCCACTGAGAAGATCCGGCGAGTGAGTTTGGCTGCCCACCGATAATTATTTGTAATTTAATCTACACATTTATCTGTAATGTGCTCTCGAGCCGTATTAATTACAAAATTAACAAAATACTAAATTTATATATAGTATTTTGAACACAGTAACATCTACTTAACGTAATGTATAGGTTAATGACGAAATTTTGGTCCACATCATCCTATCGAATTTTCGAGATCATTGTCTTAATTATAAAATGTAAAAATATAAATATCTGCACCAGTTTTGTATTACGTGACCCAGCACTGTATTCTAATTGGTAAACTATTAGCATCGTATGTTTCTTGATTCGGTTAGTTTCAAAGCGGTGTTATGCCAGAGTTCTTGTCCAAATTAATTAGTTGGTTATTGGTATTAATTGACTCTTTAAATAATAATTAGCAAAACACGTTGTGCAGACAATTATATCTTCGAATTTCTAACTTTGCTAAATTTTCAAAGTCCTTTTGTCTTTTCTATAAAGCCTGTTTGTTTACATTTTCACAATGACTTTGTTTATTTTCAATTCGGTGCGGTGTGATGTAAATGGTACATATTCCCTCATGTAGGTACAACAATTATGGCACGTAAATCTATTCTAATCGGATACACGAAATCGTATTAGCACCATCGCTTGCGGCGACGAGTTCGCCACCACGCGACCCCACATTTTGTGAATAGCACACAACAGCTCTAAAACTGTAAATTTTTTGACTCGATTATTGCATATAAGCAAATAAGGCACGTTCCACACCAGAAAACCGTTTAGAAATTTGAACGATCAACAAAATGCGGGGTTTATAGCTTACTTAAGGCTACATTCACAGCCGTTTAGGAACTAAGTTTCACGAAGCCGAAGTATGAGTAGCCGGGTCGGAGCCACACCCTCCTGTTGGGTTCACGTTGAGCGATATTGACGGTGTCGCCCTTGTACAGTCTCGCGACGGTCTGCACCGAGCACGACATCTGGGACTTGGCTATCGGCCGCCGGCTGGAGTCGTCGCCCGTGGCGCACGTGGACAGCAGCCGGGGCTCCTTGTCCGGTTGGTGGGCCCAAACGAAGTAACAGTTCGACTCTTTAGTTAAGTACACCACCTGGGACGACACAAGAAACATTTGCATCGTTTTATTGCTGAGTTGATTTTCAAATATTTTGTAGGAATTGCTAAAAGATATTTGGAAAAAAAAAAGTAACTTAAAAAAAAAAACACAGATATCAATGCTTTTTTTCCCTAAGCTGGTAACCTTAGAGGGCTATGTAACCGAGCGAGTAGATAGGTCATGGGGCTTTAACCTGAGGACGTTGCTAATACTAGCCCTAGCAAGAGCAGTGCTTCGTTGAATCTACTATCAGATCGGAAACGCGACCCACTGAGAAGATCCGATGAGAAACTTAGTGGGCTAGGTCTGTGGATTACTTTACTCGCCGAGCTCTTCGTCGCCAGCGACGGGTTCGACGAGAACGATGACCGGTACTTGAGGTACTTAAAAGCACCGTTAGTGGATCGAGAGGATTCGAAATGAAGTGTTTAGGGCGACGTCGACAGTTTACCATTCAGTCCGCAGGATCAGGTACGATCAATGCTAACTTCATAGCAAAAAATTTTTAAATGGTTATTTATAAATAAACTTGTTAAAAACGTTATAAATGCACGCGCTAAGATCCCTTTCTACAGGTCGATACTTAATACCTATAATCAAACTGCACAAATAGTCTATATTCCGACGCTCCACACATTATACGCATTAGTAGAGTCGATCTATCGACGGTTCGCGCTCAAAGGGTTAAAATTACGTCATTCGCTTTGAAACGCGATGCCGAAGACTCAATATTCTGCTATAACGGTTCTTTTTTTTAAACTGGTAATAACTAATGTAAAGCATGGTTTAATGAATAATGAATTTGAACAAAACACTAAGGGATTTTATTGTCGGATTACGATATAGTGCAATGAAAACAAAGAATGACTCACTTGTGTATAAACTAAATAAAGTCCGCTCTCATTAATCGTTACGTAGTTGAAGTCGCTGTTCAGTTTGATTTTCTCGTCGCTCTGTTTAGAAGAGACTTCGGTGTCTCGAACCCACGGACCCATTAATGCTGTAACAATAATATTTACATCAATCAAACCATTAACTAAATTTTATATTTTTAAATATTACATTATCGAAATAAATAATAATAATAATAAATAAACAATCACGCCACGTTAACTGGTCCCGTGATAAGTTCGTAAAGAACTTGTGTTACAGGTACCACCAGATAACGGAAATAAATGTAAGATTTTTTATTATACACATACATATATTTAATATACATCCATAACCCTGGAAAAGACATTTATATTTACCATACAAATATCTTCCCTTGGCGGGATTCGAACCCGCGACCCCCTTGTGTAGTGACCATGTCACTTACCACTACACCAGACGGCCGAAATATAAAAATGTGGTGAACGTCACCCTAATTACAGGGAGCCACAGTAAGCAATTAATAAATATACACGTGTATATTAGTTTACAATAAATATCACAGTAAGCTTCGGAACTTTTTTAACACGTACATTGCCAATATTATTACGTCATCTTATTTTAAATGACAAAGAAGATTCCTAATTCAATTTTTATAGTTTTAATTTCTCATTTTTGTGTATTTATTGCCTGTGGTAGATAGTGTTGATAAATATTGTCTTTTATTTTCACTTTATCTATAGTATATTTTAAAAAATAAATTTGCGCTATAGAAAAATGTTTGATCACATTTATATCTTTTTTCCCCTACCTATTTGGTGGTAGCCTAAGGAGCTATTCCTACGCGTGGACTGGTGAGGTCACGGGCTGAACCTCAGAGAATTTGCTAAAACTAGCCCTAGCAAGAGCAGTGCTTCGAAGTCCGAAGTCGTCGTGGCCTAAAGGATAAGACGTCCGGTGCATTCGTGTTGAGCCATGTTCGAATCTCAGCTGGGTAATAATTTTTCTAATGAAATACGTACTCAACAAATGTTCACGATTGACTTCCACGGTGAATAGCATCGTGTAATAAAGATCAAACCCGTAAAATTATAATTTGCGTAATTACTGATGGTAGGACTTCTTGTGAATCCGCGCGGGTAGGTACCACGACCCTGCCTATTTCTGCCGTGAAGCAGTAATGCGTTTCGGTTTGAAGGGTGGGGCAGCCGTTGTAACTATACTTGAGACCTTAGAACTTATATCTTAAGGTGGGTGGCGCTTTTACGTTGTAGATGTGTATGGGTTCCAGTAACCACTTAACACCAGGTGGGCTGTGAGCTCGTCCACCCATGTCTTTCTTCAAACGAGGCTTGTGGAGACTATTAAACAGTAGGCAGCGGCTTGGCTCTGCCCCTGGCATTGCTGACGTCCATGAGCGACGGTAACCACTCACCATCAGGTTGGCCGTATGCTCGTCTGCCTATACGGCAATAAAAAAAAACGCGATATTAAACCGTAAATGTAATTTTAATTACGTCTACAAATCGCGAAAACCGAAGAATCTTTTATCTTATAAAATCATCGTGCAAAATGTTGTCGATGCAAATGTGTTGTTCAGTGACACGCAATATTTATGTTTTATACCAAAAAGGAGTTCAACGTTTGAACTGTTTATAATATGTATATTCCTGCAAACAATAGAACTGCCAGAATCTCAATCGCTTTTTTTTGCATTTCAGTTTCGTGTTCATGTGATGTGATTAATTAAAAAATATGTATATATTTTTTTTGTTTTATCACGTGTTAATCAAATGGTTATCTAATGAGGTCATGGATTTTCTATTAACAGCGCGCTAACACTAGCGTTGTGACACACCACGTGTGCTTTTCACGTGGTTCTTCTGCCTCACATCTGTTATTCAAACTGAAATAAATTCACAAGTCCTAAGTTCTCGCAGTTTATTAAAAATAAATTTCTTTGCTGTCGAAATATTTGTCCGACTACAGCTTAAAGTATTGAAAGAAGTGAATTGGGTTATCGATCAGCTAGCATTACAAAGTACACTCTGCTAACGGATAATCGACAATAGGAATGCCCTACCCATAAAGTCTGTCCATTCGGATGACGTTCTTACGATATTACATGTACATAATTGTTAAGAACACTAGTCACCTGTTTATTTTTTGTATCAGAATGTAAGCTGACACAAAAAGACAGGTAGGAATTGCATTCAGGCCTAACCAGTGTGATTCTTTATCGTAAACTGTAACAATAATGTTGCAGAATAAGCACGCAAATGTGTTAGCAAACTACAAAAACTTCCTCTAATTTTTCTTTCTCAGTTTTTTTTGAATGGTTATGTAGTAGTTTGTATAAAATGGTACAGCTTTCCTGTACATTATTGCTTCTGAGCAATTTTTAGATGAAGTCTGATTGGTACATTAGCTATTTTTCCAAAAATATTCCATTTTTTTTATTGCTTAGATGGGTGGACGAGCTCACAGCCCACCTGGTGTTAAGTGGTTACTGGAGCCCATGGACATCTACAACGTAAATGCGCCACCAACCTTGAGATATAAGTTCTAAGATCTCAGTATAGTTACAACGGCTGCCCCACCCTTCAAACCGGAACGCATTACTGCTTCACGGCAGAAATAGGCAGGGCGGTGGTACCTACCCGCGCGGACTCATAAGACGTCCCACCACCAGTAAATTTAATAATGCTTATAGATAATATTGTGTGACCATGCAAATTGGTTTCAATGGACTACTACATATTTTTGCCAAGAAATCGATGTCATTTAATGATTAGGTACTCAAGATGGTAATGTCGATGGTGATTTTGCGAGATCCACTACCCTAAAAATTAGTTCGTTTTGGTTAAAAACAATCGCTGGGAACCACACAACGGAAGTAGAGACTAATATAAACTAACATTAAGATAAACGGGACTTCCTGCAGCAGAGTTTTTAAACATTCCAGCGAAGGCATCTTAATGCCTACATCCGCCTATTTATATTATTCAGAAGCACTTGGGTTTGTACTTATGTGATGTGTAGTAATGTGAATTCCTTCCGTGTTATGCCTGCTAATTTATTATAACTATTTCGTTGTGAATTGATACTGTTTACTTTGGTGGACCTGATCAAGAAAAAAATTAGTGAATGTTAATGATCTAGTAAAAGTGAATCCCATTAAAATAATTATGATAATTAAGCCGAAAGCAGTATTAATGATTTCAAATTACTAAATTTTCTATTGTTATTTTACGATAGTAATATTAATGAATAAAAATTATTAAATGTTCTATGTGTTCTAAGGTTAATGTTTTTTTTAACTACCTATGCTGATAGACTTGAGAGGCTATTTCAGCTTCTCCTTGGCGTGTAGGTGAGCTCAAGGTGCTCAAACCGGGAGTTTTAGCACTGGCCCTAGCAAGAGCAGTGCTTCTACCACCGGATCGGAAACGCGACCCCACTGAGAAGATCCGGCAAGAAACTCATTGAGCTGTGTCTATGGGGGGCTAATGTTGAGTGCTTGCCGGAGCCCACGGAAATTATAACGTGAAGTCGAGTTCTAAATTATATTTAACAACCTTTTTCCTTCTTTTTACCCTTTCTTTTTACTATGAGCAAATAATTCAAAGCCAATGATGCAAAACCATCACTATGTACCACGTAACAGTTAAAATTTCATTAACAACTTGTTATTGATTTCATTATATAGCGCGGGCATCGCTTATTTTAAAGCTAGCATGACAATGACAGTATTATCACGCGTGAAACTCGATAACAGTGACGAATTTTTAAAGTTGAACAAATAAAATCAGAACTAATGTGTTGTATTGCATTACTCACAATTCGAGGGGTGAAACGATATTTGGTTTGAGCGACATTTTTGCAACTTTACTGGCGAGCCAATTAAAGTTTAAAGTTTGGAAAAAAATATTAGAACAAGTAAAACTTCTTCAGCTATTTCAATGGATTATACTTAATTGAAGTTCAATTAAAAACATCGAACTGTTGATGCTAATACCAAATAAAACGCATCTTTTATTACAAAGATAAATGACGCGTATAATATTTTGTTTTTATATTTTAGATGGGTAGACGAGCTCACAGCCCACCTGGTGTTAAGTGGTTATTGGAGCTCATAGACATCTACAACGTAAATGCGCCACCCACCTTGAGTTATAAGTTCTAGTCTCAGTATAGTTACAACGGCTGCCCGACCCATCAAACCGAAACGCATTACTGCTCCACGGCAGAAATAGGCAGGGTGGTGGTACCTACCCGTGCGGACTCACAAGAGGTCCTACCACCAGTATTAAGGGAAATGTCGCTTAAACCAAACAGCCTGTCACCCCTCGATATGTATTATGAGTTACTGGGATATGTCGCGAACTGTGAGCACTCTTGACAACAGATTACGATCCTAGATTGTATTCGAGTAAAATTTAAAATATGCGTGCGTGTTTCAGACCTTGACCTCACAAGTGAGAAACATCATTATAACCGCCGGGCTTCCAACAGGCCTAATGTGGCCCATTAGCTTTATTTACGATGTTAACATATTACGTAGTTAATATAGTATTTATTTGTTTTACTTTTCTTGAAGACACTGGTGAAACTCTTAAGAATGGGGCGCGTTAAAAAAGAAAGGAAAGAGGCTCCAGCTTCCACTTAAAATCAGGGGGGCGTGTGCTTGTTCACCAACATACGTAATAAAATTATGGAATAGGAAGCATTCGTTATTAGTTTAAGAAAAATCCAATTAAAGGGTAATAATATTTTCGCGTATGTACGATAGACGAACAATTTCAATAGTATTATTCACAATAAAAATTGTAGAACAATGTCTGGCTTCTTAATTGTAGGAGCATCGAATTAATTACAGGAATATGGCACATGGGCCTCCACAATACGAATGTGGCATTGTTTAAATATTTGTCAACTAATTTTAGTCTTATTCCCTAGGCTTAAGGTTTATAAATAAACTTAAATATCAGTGGCAGAGCAATGCGAATATCTAAGCACACATCCTGTGGCACACTGTATTATTATCATTGTTCCAGTCGCATACTTCTTTGTACTGGTAGCTTTGTTAGTTGATGTTTATGTTGGTAAACAAATATAAACCTTATGACCTTGTTTTAAGTTGTTTGCCATAACGATATGATAATTATGCAACATGATTTTTATTGTTTCTGTATTATTATTCACGTCAATAAGAATTTTGTACTGCATACTTTTATTTATTTTGCTTTGAATGGAATGTTTTGTTTGCAATATAAATCAGATCATTTAAAAAAAGAAAGGGAAAGCACATAATTTTGCAATAACGACTATTAATTTTCAATATGTTGCAACTCAGGAAGTACCCTTTATAGTATTTTATAAATATTATTATGTCAATGTACACAACTTATGCCAAATAAGTGAGCCAATTTTTTTTTAGTTTAGTACTTCCCTTGACAGTTAAACGTTTGTAAAACAAAACTCCTATGGGGCATGTGTTTGTGCTCATTGAGAACATTATTTTTATAGTTTGCTAAAAAGTGACAGAGATTGAGAAACAATTTAATAGTACTCACATTGCGTACTCATATTTTTCTCCTGGTATGCTCCGTTGAAATGGACAACCAGTAAATCTGAAAATTTTTATTAGTGAATATATTGTTTATTAAATTACCTTTTATCATTACTTTTTGCCTTAGTATACCTTTTTGTAGGACTGAGAAATTGTTATCAAGAATATCTTGAGTCATGTTTTTCTTTCTTGAATCTACAAGTAGCATGTCCTCACCAAGGTCCTCCACAAAGTATTTCTTGGCATTCTCATTGTTCATTCTGGGTTCTCTGTCTGAGGACTGTGGTTTTGGGGCAACCAGAGCACTCTGCACAAGTGTCTCATGTCCTATGTTTTGAAACATGAAATGGTCTTTTATCATATCCAGTTGCCTCCTCATTAAAATCATTTCATTCCAATAATAGAAAGCAATGGAACAACTAAGAACCATACATATGACACTTAGCATAAAATTTAAAATGAACAAAAGCTTTATTTTCTTGGAAGACGCTATCGAGAATGTTGTATTTATATGTACACCAAGGTCTGATGGTTTCTCTGCAAAAAAAAAAAAACAAACAACGTTTTTAATCAACGCACATTCTCGTGGTATATTTTAATTATTTTATTATTTATATTAAAGTAACTTACCTGTTTTTAGATGTATAACTGGGCAATCTCGAGAGCCTAGTTTTGCATCTTTGCTTTTACCGGTGTTCAAAAATATATTTGCACCTGACGAGTTTAATGGAACACCTTCCCCTAAATGTATCTTCCTTTCAACGTCCATTATAAATATTATTGTAGTATCTACGAACGGTGTAGTGTAGTACTACTGTTTACTCGAGCATTGGCGTTAGCGTCGAACCTAAACAAAGGACATGAAACTTTTAAAAGTTTGCGCTGACCGCACATGATAACCGCGCTTTGATAAAAAAATATTGCTCACTCACATACCTGAACTGGGTTGATATCACTCTTAACATTAATTTTGCACTAGTTTTATTCACTTATATAAACATTTATTTACACTTTAAAGTTTAGCGAGTGGTTTTTAACAAGTTTGCAAAAACAAAAATAAACAGAAACAAATGACCCTTTCACTCGTTCGCACTACGCTTGGCCGTCCTGGTTCGGTCGGTCGTACCGATTCGGCATTCGGCAAGGGCGAGCAACTTACGAGCTGTTTGACGTTGAACGCTACGGCGGCGCGCCAAATTTGAACTGAGTTGCAAGCGCGTGCGTCGCACAGCCAATGCTAATTGTGAAGTGATTCAAGCAAGTGCCACGGAATAACTGTATATCGCCCCAGGAAAATATCGATGAGCACTGGATGCTACATAACATCGAAATGATACAACGATGCCCCTTTTATTTGTATTTATCTAACAGATTTTTTGTGAGCGCAGCGTTTTCCCACGTTTTGTTTTGCTATTTGATAATAATATGGTTCCTTTATTTAAAAAGCTTTTATTACTTTGGTGTGTACTATTCATGTATCACAATTTTGCAACGTAATTTTTGGCAAATTTAAAACTTCCGTCGTGAAAATTTGCACACAGGACCGTTCACGATACAAGCAATTTATAATTTTGGCTCAGTATCCCGGCTAGTAACGCAAAAAAATATTTAATTATTAGTTCGATTTGCTATTCAAGTCTATTTTTTTTCGAAAGCTGAGCAGCTAATGTGCTAAAAACAACTGTTCCAATTTTTCTCATAATCGAATGAATGGATTAGAAACATAGACGTTAAACGTACATACAAATAATCATAATTCCTTTATAAACTTTCAACCACTAGTCCATCCTCTTAGTAGTAACATTTTGAAATACGCTAATGTAATTTTATATAGGTATATACTAAAGCTTTGAAAAGTTATAGCAAATTTTTTTTGACTTGTCATTGTTCAATTTATGTTAAGTGGTTACCGGAGCCTATTAGGCATGACAACGCGAATATATTTAATAATTGTATAGCAATTACGCAAGTTATAATTTTAATTAACATCAAAGTTTCACGTGGTAATTTTCAATTTCGTCGTAGGCTTTACCTGTAACCACTAATCTCATAGAAACTGTTTCTTGTTCTCGTTGATAATGCGCTTTTCATTGTTCAAAGTGATTTTGAAGTAAGGGTTCTCAATACAGCGCAGGTACATGTAGTACCTGCAAAACATGGCATTCATTTACCGTCTTAAGGTTATTTGAAAAGGAATATTTGAACTGGGATATTAAGATCTGGAGTATTTACACAAATTGTTTTACGAAGTATACTTTTGGAGGTTAAAATGCAAAAACCATTCAGAAGTGTTTTATTTTTGGAAAGCGAGCCTTAAGAATATAAGTAAAACTTAGCATTTATTGTAGATGTGTATCTACTATTATATCTAACGGGGTAATAATATGTATAGTAAAGTAAAATAGGCATACATATATCAATAATTTAAAAAAATTAAATATTAATGTAATGTCTAAAGTATGTTAATGTACACTGTTACACATTTTTTCTTTAATTTAATACTTATTTAAAGCTGAAATATTAATTAATCAAAACTACTTAAAATTAGAAATTGTGTTCGATAAGGAATGCAGAACATAGCACCAGCTGCTAACATCTCGGTTCATGCCTACCCTGAATATTTCCGAATATAGAAGTCTACGGCAGATACGAATTCAGATCAATTCATTAATTTATCATACGTGACTATACTAGGGAATGATATATTTTTATATTGTTATGTAGAAATTATAAAGTTATCGGTGTCAGGAACTGGAAGGAGAAAGCCCTGAACAGAGCAGTCTGGAGAGACATACTGGACTAGGCTAAGGCCCACCCTGGGCTGTAAGGCCTAAGATGATGATGATGTAGAAGTTATACGTCTGCTACAACTTCGGTGTGCTTAGTGCGAGTTTTTTAACTTCTCGATCGCGTAAAAGTTAACTCAAATTTGTACAATTTTTTAGTTGGAACAGCCCCTCTAGCGGCAAACGGCCCTTCGAAATCTAAAATTCGCACTAAGCACACAGTTTAGCACATTTGTACGCTTTTACAGTTAACTTGCTACTCAAGAATTCGTTGGCGCAGGGAAATTGCCAATATAGTCCTCATTATCCTTTGTTTAGTGTTCTCAACTCATTGCCTTCTACGAAGCCCAACGTGAACGAAAGTCTAAAGCCTAAGTGACGTAATTGATCACTGGCAAGACTATTGATCGAAACTGTCCAGACAGACACTGGCTGAGTATATAATACCATAAACACAAAAGTTTACAAAAGACTTTTCCTGCAGCGCCTGTAAATCTTAACAGAAGCCAATAAATATTACTAAAATTATTTTTAAATATTCAATTGATTAGATAGTGCGGCTTTACTGATAGAATTGAATACTCTAAGTTGTTAATTTAAAAAGGTACACAATTGTTGAATTCATTTATATAATACCAGCAAGTAATACTAAACTAAAGATTACATAACATATTAAAGTACATATGTAATTAATCTAATTCTAAAGAACAGTAGGTACTTGTATTCAGAGCAATAACATCTTTTCTCAGAGCTAAAACATTTCTTTATCAAAACAATGTCAAAAAAAACGAATTAAAAAAGTCAAGTTAGCCTTTTCCCGGCGGGCGAAAAGGTATTTAACCTTTAACAAAGAGCACAAAAGTTACAACGGACTGAGAAATTCGCAAATATTTGTGTAACGATGGTTTCATCGTGTATCTCAGAATTTCGTACGGAAAATTGCTTTTGAAAAGCCGAAACATAATTAGATTTTTCGGTATAAATAAAAGAAATACAAGAACCAGCTTCAAGGCAGATACTAAAATGAAACAACCCTTCAGGTCTTTTGTCTTCGTTCAGTTTTGCTATTCTTTTTGGGCTTTGACTGTGATATTGAAACTATTTTTTTTTCTTTTGGTTCAGTGTGCTTAGTGCGCGTTTTTTAATATTCTCGTTAACGTAAAAGTTAACTCAAATTTGTATGGAGTTGGAACGTTTGCCTACGTTTGCCGCTAGGGGCGCTATTCCAACTGCATGCAAATTTGAGTTAGCTTTTACGTTATCGAAAACGTTAAAACACTCGCACTAAACACACAGGAGGAAAGACTTTCTCATCGTTGGGGAGGGCGCGCTGGGCATGTCGGAGTCGAAACCTAAAAACCCTAAAACCTAAAACCCCCTATCGCTTAATAACCCACGACCGAGTCACAGAAAAAAATTGGTTTTTTGTTTATCAATTTCCATATTTCAAATAGTTTGTATGTGCTTCAATGAAAATTTTTAATATTGAAATTTGTGATACGATGAGTTACTGGTGGTAGGACCTCTTGTGAGTTCGCACGGGTAGGTACCACCACCCGCCTATTTCTGCCCTGAAGCAGTAATGCGTTTCGGTTTGAAGGGTGGGGCAGCCGTTGTAACTATACTGAGAACTTAGAACTTATATCTCAAGGTGAGTGGCGCATTTACGTTGTAGATGTCTATGGGCTTCAGTAACCACTTAACACCCGGTGGGCTGTGAGCTCGTCCACCCAGCGAGGCAATAAAAAAATACCTTGAGGCTTGAGGTTGAATTGATATCATATAACAGCTGCCATATTTTTCACCGAGATTTTTTTCGAAATAACTGCCGGCTCTGCGAGCATGTTGCTATTTCTGTAGCCACGCGCCAAACTGCACATGCGCTCAGATTTTGCAAAGCGCGTGCATCCAGATGTGTTATAGAGAGCATAAAAATGGTATGTTTATTAATATTTTGGTTCTATATTGCCTATGAAAATAGCCTGTCCGGCTATTTATAAGACATTACTGTTGCTTCCCCAATATCCTCTCGTAGTCGTACATAATATTTCCTATTTAACTTATCCCCTTGGGGAGAAATTGAGAGGAACCTAAACCTAACATTTGTTTTGAGAACTACGGGAAGGGCATGTGATTAGTAAGCCAAGCCGCTGCCTACCGTTTAAGGTCTGAAGGAAGCTGCCACCGTGCTTCATCCCTACCTACACTTAAGCCTCACATTTATATCTATACATGTAAATAAAATTGGAGTGTCTGTTTGTAATATTGAAATAGCCTCTTTTTACTACATGCATATAAATATATATATATGGTACATACACCAAAATAACATTTTTAACAATTTTTGTCTGTCTGTCTGTCTGTCTGTTTGTTTTTCCGGCTAATCTCTGGAACAGCGGGATCGATTTTGACGAGACTTTCACTGATAGGTAGCTGATGATATAAGGAGGAACTTAGGCTACTTTTTATAGACTAGCTTCACCTCGCGGCGTCACCCGCGGTACTACAATAACCACGGGTAACATCGCGGGACTCAGCTATCAATAATAAAATTTAATGTTCCGAAGCGAAGCGAGGGCGGGTGGCTAGTTTTTAATGAAGTTCATCTTCGAAATTGCTGTTTCAAAAATATTTGTTGACCCAAACAAAATAAGAAGTTTCGCAGCTATTTTTTGTAGTTTGGATATTTACTACCACACACAAATTTCCTCCAGAACTCTTCACTGGAAACTTCCGTACTCTGTAGTGCAAGTTGCTGTGTTCTTGCGATCCGCACAAAATAAATCGGCTGTCCGGATGCGTACCGCGGTCCGCCATTTGGCGACTCCTACTGTAAAGAATTCGAAACGTCGCAAATCTATACATACATATAAATAAAATTGGAGTGTCTGTTTGTAATATTGAAATAACAGCTTTTTACTACATGCATATGAATATATACACGGTACATACACCAAAATAACATTTTTTACAATTTTTGTCTGTCTGTCTGTCTGTTTGTTCCGGCTAATCTCTGGAACAGCGGGATCGATTTTGACGAGACTTTCACTGATAGGTAACTGATGATATAAAGAGTCACTTAGGTTACTTTTTTAGACTAGCTTCGCCCCGCAGCGTCACCTGCGTTACGAATATAACCGCGGGTAACATCGCGGGACTCAGCTATTAATAATTATATTAAATGTTCCCGAAGCGAAGCGAGGGCGGATCGCTAGTAATAAATATAATAATAATAAAAACGCGTGATTACACCATAAAAGTATTTTTATTATGTCTATAGAAGTGATTTAATAAATAAAAGTGTTGACTTAGATAAACAAGGATAAAACCTGAAAGTGTTTCAACACTTGACCAATAAT